CTGCATTGAAATAAATCAATATCCTGTTTTGTGTGAAATATCACAAAATGCAAACAAACTGATTCAGGAAAGTGATTCAGAAAAAGGACTGGGGTTTAATCATGAGATAAATCTTTCTGTTTTAAAAATGCTTTAAAAAAAGAAGGGAAACATGATTATTTCCTTGAGTGTGAGTCAACTTGGACTCTACTGCTCTGTGCGAGTGAGAACGTTGTCTGATTTCCTGATGGAAAAATGGGATCCATTAGCTGCTTTGTCCAGCCTGAAATATGAGAATGAAGAACTCTTCACTATATTCATCCTCTGTATTTGTCACTGAAACAAAGCACAAACCTGGCACAAAACTGTTTTTGATAATGCTTTTTATTTTTGCTTTCCTCTGGTTTTGGACTTTCACAGTAAATTGGCATAGTTATACAGAAGATTATAACCCTGCATTATTTTAATTTCTGATTAAAATCAGAGGCAGTGGGCTTTACTGTATTAGCAGCTTTCATCTAAGCCTCTCTAGATGATTGCCATATCTACCAGCCCCACCTGCTAGTTGCCAAAGACATGTAAGCATTCCCTAGTTGTGCATGCCTAGGTAGCTGCCTTGGATCCACAATATCACAATAACAGCACTGTGCCTACAAGGAGTTGCCTACAATTCTAACATGCACTTGGTGATACCATACAGCTTAGTGACCAATGCCTATGTGTTCCCATGGTTTTATTTATGAAAAAAAACCCTAAACCTGATGATCTAAATGAAGATATGAGATACTACTGGTATCATTTCAGGTGAAGCCAAGCACTTACTTGCTGTGGTTATGGTAACTATTTGTCTCTAACAAAAGGCAGAAGTATTTAAATTTACTTAATATTTATGAAGAAATCTGAAGTAAGTTTTATTTACCATCCCAGTGTTTTATTGAACAAAGATAGATTTGGAAGAATGTTCAGATTGTGGATTTCTGAGATTCATTTAGCAAATTCCTAGAGAAAATGTCAAGATACAAAAACTGAAGGACTCTGTCAGCTGGAAAGCTAAAGAAGTTCTAGCCTGTGGTTAAAAAGAAAGCCAAGAAATCAATCACAATTGCTAAAAGTTGCTGCAAGAAAGCACTACATATGACAAAGGAAAGAACATACTCAGAATACATC